AAGGTGCTCCCATTGATCTTAACCTTTGATTCTAGGTACCAGCATTTCCAGTTTATACTTTCAACTTGCCATTAGTGGATTCTTCCAAAGCAGTCATGTTTCTCTGTTTTTTTCTGTTTTGTTTTGTTTTTAATTCATTTTTTGGCCACGTCATGCAGTATGTGGGATCTTAGTTCCCCGACCAGGGACTGTTCCTGTGCCCCATGCAGTGGACACGTGGAGTCTTAACCACTGGACCGCCAGGAAGTCCCCATGTTTCTGTGTTGACTGTTAAGATTAACAGGAGAACTAGAATAATTTTTTCCGGTTTTCTGATTTCTTGACTTACTTTTCTTAGGATTCAGAAAAACATGCATTTCCCAAGAAGCGTTGGAAACAAATTCCTGCATGAAAACACTACTTGTTTTTTTATCAAGTCCTAAGATCTGAAGTTCCCTAGCTCCGTGAATGTAATGAGAAAAACAAATTGGTCTCTTGACCTCTCGCTTAATAGTTGACCTATGGGGTCACCAGGTCCTGTACAACCCATTGACATCAGTGAGAGCAAGTAAACACAACATAAGGTCAAATACTTTCATTTTTTGGAAATGAAAGTAGCTACTGTCAAGTAACAGGTCACAAGCTATTTGCTATGTGCCTTGCCCCATACACCGCAATGTCTACCCACTGCATTAAGGTTAAAGCAAACGTGATATTTCACCAACTATAAGAAATTTGAATACAGGACCTTTCTTAATCTCACCAGAAGGTGTCAACAAGTTTTCACAAAACTGGCTGTCAATGATAATTATTGTATGATACCATTAAATGGAAGATGCTTCAGAGATGTTCATGTGGGGGAAAAAAACCCCAAAATCAACCCTGCATCTTAAAGTAAAATGTGAAATAAGGTATTTCTATATCAATCACCTACCATATTTTTTGAGTATCCACTATATGCTCAGTAGTCCAAAGCTAACTTTTGAGTTGTAACGCCCTTATTCAGGGGTGCTCAAACTTCAGCTGCTTGGAAAATACATTAACCACCTGGTAGACCAAACACTAATGCTTCACTTGCCTTCCTCCTTTCCAGCAGAACCTCAATGTTGTTCAGCCGTCTTCCCTTCTCCAAGTGGCCACGTGGAATGGATCAGGGAGGGGAACCAAATGTTCAGACTTTGCCAAGTTTCCTTTTTTTTTCACTACTGATTAATGAGATGTGCTCTCATTGATAAACATTGATAAACAGAGACATATAAAATGAAATAATCCTCCCCTACTCCCAGAATGTTTTTCTGACTCCATATAAAGTTTGGAGCTGCAGCAACCACCTTGCCATCCTGAGGGGAGCTAAGCCAACTCACTTAGAATGGCAGAGCAAAAGATGGGGGGACGGGGCTGGTGGGAGGAAATGAGTTCTTGATGACATTAAGCAGGTAAATTTTCCAACCTTGAAACTGCCCTACCAGAGTTAGGTGAGACTTCTTGTTAATACAAGACAGTAAATCTTCCTATTGCTTAAACCAGCTGATTGGGTTTTTGTAACTTATGTCTTCATTGATACACCAAAAGGGATCAGCAATGCTGGAGCATCAGACTTGTGTACTACTCTTAGATAGGGTGCCAGTAAGGTTTGCAATAGGCATGCCATGGCTTTCCCTGGGATGGATGACACCCCTGACTTAATTGAAAAGGACTGTGCTAATTCAGCAGAAGTCAATCGCATAGTCTCCAGTTTTAAAAAGAACAAGGAAGAGACCGGTCTACCTAAGGAATTCTGTAGGTATCAATTGGTGTGTGGGGGGGTGTGAGAAGGAAATCAAGATTTTTGCAATGCAGCCATTAACTAGGAGATTAACACAAGGTTGTCCCATATGATCCCAGTTAGAAAGGAAAAGGCCTGTTGATGACTGTCAAGTCTAAGAAAAGTCACTTTTTATTGACTCTCAGGAACATTTAAGAGACCACTTTAGTTGTCCCAAATTCCCAACTAGTAAACACAAAGAATTTTAAAGTTTTAAAAACTTTAAAACTGGAAACTTTAAAAAAATTTTTAAAGTTTCTTCAAACAGCCTGGCAGTAGGGAGGGAGGAAGAGGAGAGGAAAGAGGCACCAATTTACAGTGACCGACCACAGAAAATTTTCTTTTAGGCATTCTGCTTAAGAATGAAGAGGCTCGTTATTCCTAAGCACAGATGTAAGACAACCCCACTCAACTTTTCACCAAGGCTTACCGGTGCGAAAAGTAAAGGTTTTCTTGAGAACTGGCTCCTGCTGATAGAATATACCCACAGCAGTAAGTAAGGCCCCATTCTCCTCTCACAAAGCAAATTTCAAAAGGCACAGAGCTCCTTTAGTTTACCTATTCCCCTCTTCCAGCCTTATCAATTAGTCTCCTCACTGCCTATCCTGGGACTGTAGTGGTAAATAAGCTGTTTAGATACCAGCAAATTGCAATAGTGGACTTTCCTGGCACTACTGATTTGCATGTTTACAGTAACTTTTCTTATTGAGTTCTAGGTGCTTTGCATCACTACAACACTCCTTACATAAGAAAAAATGTGTTACTGAGTAACACTGACAGCACTAAATCTCAGATTCAAAGACTTGAAAGTGCAGAGCAGATCCTAAATGTGGCCAAGCAAATGCCTTTCTCCAGTTTAGGATAAGCTGTTGACGATTAGCTTTAAAAAAAGAAATGGAACTAATGTCAAAACTTAGGGGGTTTTTTGGGTGCTAACTAGCTATTTACATAGAAAAACTGCTGAGAAAATGTGAATTTATGAGATGAAGGCTGAAATTTAAAAGTCCAAGTTTAATTTAACATTCTTCTTTTACCAGTCTTCCTGTCCCCAGAGTTCCACACCCCATTCCCAGTCCCCAACTCAGTTAGAGTAGGAATTTTAAAACATAATTTTATTATTTCACTCCTTGCTTATATTCCATGCAAAGGACAAAGTCCAAATTCTAGCTAGACATACAGTATAATTCCTCATGATCTGACCTCTGCCTCCACTCTGGCCTCATCTTTCACCAGTCTTCACAACTCATACTAACTCATACTCATCCCTTAGGATGATCTTTCCAAGTGTGGACTAGGTTGGTAGAGAGGTGACAGTTAAGAGCATTGGCTCTGTGACTTTGAGTAAGGTAACTTACATCTCTAGGCCTCAGCCTACTCACCTGTAAAATCAATATAATAAAGTAACCATGTAGGTCTGTACTGAGAAAACATAATACTGGTAAAGTCTTTAGCAGTCTTAATACCTAATGAGGGCTTGCAAATATTATCTATTATTTTTATTATTACATACCTGTTAGTTGAGCTCCCTATATACCCCATCACAGCACTCATCATTCCATATCATAATTGGCTATTAACTGGTCTCTAACACCTGTTGTTTGGTTTTCAATTGCTCTCCCTGCTCCCTTCCCACCACCACCAACACATACCCAGCATACTTGAGGACAACTTGCTCCCATCTGTGACTATGACCCACTCTGGCAAGTGATTCTTAAGGAGTTGTCACCCCTGGTTTGAGTTTTCAACTCAACCAGTGGTTCTCAACTGGGGATGGTTTTGCCTCCCAGGGGACATTTGGCAATGTCTTGAGACGTTTTTGGTTACTGTAATTCAGAGGAGGTACTACTGGCACCTAGTGGTTAAAAGCCAAGAATGCTGCTAAACATTCTACAATGCACAGGGCAGGCCCCTAATACAAAGAATCACCTGGCCCAAAATGTCAATGGCACCAAGGTAGAGAAACCCTGAACTAAACAGTAGGTTCAGGAATTACTTTATCACCAGCATCAAAACAATGCCAGACACATTAGAAGCATTTCACAAATGGTGCATAAACAGAAGGAGCCTATAATTCCAGCACATGCTAAAACAATTTAAGCCACTACAATCTATAATCAGTATGTATAAATACATGGAAACTAGCTAAGCCCTACTAGCTAATCCTTATAGCTCCTTTCTATAAAGATCAATCATAATATATTTTTCCTGTTGTTTTAACAATCAACACTTCACTTTGAAAATCCTTTCCATTTAATTTCTACTGAAATAATGCTGCCCACCACAGGAGCACCAACTAAGATGGAAGACCAAAATGTTTAGTGTTCTTTAACTGAAAAGCCTGAAAATGCCACCACCCACACACACTCACAGAGCAGTCAGAGGTAGACGCTGGCACCTTTTATATATGCTTTGAGCTACAATTCATCAATCGTTGAAATTCAAATAAGTGCAGAGGTGGTAGGTGGCAGAGTTTCACTAAGAAATGAAAAATCTCAGTGTCAAATATCATTAATAAAGTTGACATGCTTTTCTGCTAACATATAAAGGACAAGCAAGGGCAACACACATAGCCTTGTTTCAAGCACCTTCTGTTAACTCAAAATTACAAAAAAGTCTTCTACACTTTCAGATAAAGAATAATGGACCTGGAAGAACACGTAGACAAATACTAGAAATGTAACTGAGAATGAACTGGCAGAGTAGAAGTCAGTTACCATAAAGGACTTTTTAAATGGTTAAAGTTTGGAATCCTTCTAAAAGAGCAAAGTAATCTATAAACATTAATCAAGACTGACTTTAAAAGACAAGGTACTTAACATTTAACATTCTAATTAGTTGTTTGGGGGCATGTTTTTCCTGTAAGACACTGAACATATCCAATTTAATCTTTTCATATCTAGCAAAACTTCAGTGCCTATCATGTAGGTAGCATAACACATTTAATGAATGAGCAAATGAAGTATCTGCAGACTTTCTCCCTGTAAATGCCTGTTCTAGTAAGATGTCCTTTTATGTAGTCGATTATCCATTTTGCCTTCCATTGTGCTTAATGTCCTAGTAAATCAAACTCAGAGGCACAACAAATGCTGTTTTCAGATCAAGCATGTCAGATAGTAGATAACATCTCAGTAACTGTTTTATTAAACCAACCACTCCCGACCACCACCAAAAAAAGATTATTTCGCCTCCCGCCAACTATGACTTTACCATTCCTTACCTTCCTCTGGGGCAACTGAAGCTCCTTCAGGTAGTATAGGTTGTAATTCCCCAGTTTCAGAATTATTTTCCAAATCAGTCATTTGCATTCCTTCCAGACGACCTCCTTTAACACTAGTCCTCAAAGAGGGAGAAAATAACCTGATATTCTTGTATAACTAGTCACTGATATAATAATCTAGATTTTTTTCCTGTCCAGAAACTGAGCAAACTAAGTAGGGTATAGGGCACTGGTGTTTAATACTAAATTTCAAGTTTTACTTTTAAAAGATTCACTAGAAGACTCACAATGAAAGGTTATAAAGTGGTAGATTGCATCAACGTCAATATCCTCGTTGTGATAATGTATCAGCGTTTTGCAAAATGTTATAATTAGGGGAAACTGGATAAGGTACACAGGCTCCCTCTATTCTTTCTTATAATTGCATGTGAATCTACAATTATCTCAATAAGAATTCCAATTTAAAAATAAATATAAATAGAAGTCCTTAATAACATGTTCTCACCAATATGGAAAGACTTTTGAGGTATACTGAGTGAGAAAACAAGGTGCACCTTTTGTATTAAAAAAGCTATATGGTCACTTAAATATTGCTTAAATATGCATGAAAGTTGAGAAGACAGCATATACAAAAAATTAAAAACAGCAGGAATGTGTGTGGGCAGAAGGTTGGAAAACAAAGCAGATGGGAGACAAAGATGGGGAAATTTTAACTTAATATTCTTTTTTTTAACTTCCATTTTTGAACCATTTATTACTAGCATTTAAAATTTTTGCTTATACTACCTTAAATCAGGCAAGGAAAAAAAACACAAGCTGGAAAACACCACATGACCCAGGTTGGCAGTGTAATTAACTGTAAAATGAGGGTTATAGCTATGAGCTTTACACATTTATACAGGATTTTACAATCTAGAAAAAAGTGCACATTCGTACACATTTAATCTTTATGACTAAAGGCAGATATAAATCTCCATAACAAAATATAAAAACTAGTTGCAGCTTCATCTTGAAAGGAACATGTATAAAACCAGGCTAGGAAATGCGGAGGACAAGACAATCTCCAATGATTGTAACACCCTTCCACTGCTTAAACTTGAGCTAGAACAGAAAACAGCCACCAGCTGTCCTATTAGATTTGGTAATTATCCAGATCTTAAAACTCTATACAATTAAGTAAACTTAAGGGATATTAATCTTTCTCTAAATTTAATTCAAAGTTCTTTTCAAAGCCTCCAAGGTAGAATTATTCCATTGTTTAAAATTAGAAATGTATTTAATATGCATATAATAGATCAGCAAATGGATATTAATGGCTCATCTAGCACATTCACAGACAATACATTCCATAATCACTCTCTTTTAAATGGATGGAAGTTTAATTAACAATGTCGACTGGGTGACATGACTGGGATTTGAGTTTATGTTTGGGTGACATGACTGGGATTTGAGTTTATGTTTCCTGGGAGAGAGATGAAGGTACTGATGACCACATATATATATCCTTTTGGGAAATTCCAACTATGTGTTTTGAGGACACTTTCATAAAAGGGAAAGAAAAGGTGAGATGAAAGCAGAAAAGCAGTTTTAAAATAAAATCACCAGAAGTGCTTTGTTCTATACAAAATTCATGTAAAAGACCTATGGGACATAATATAGCATAGCACAAATGTCTTTGAAAAATATGGGACAGATGGAAAAAAAAGTTGACCCAAAAATGTCACAAGGCAGAGGTCACCCAAGGTTATATAACATTATTATCCTAACTTCAGTGAAAATGAGCTCTAATGTATTCAAGCTGAACTTCTGGTACTATCTCATTCTGTGAAGAAAGAAAAAGGTAAGGTCTCTGATGCTTGAAGTTACATTTTAATACAACAAATAAACTGTCTGCTAAAAAACTAACAAACTAGAAGTTTATTATGTTCATTACGTTGTAGACTTAAAGTGCCAAACAGAACTATTAGCTATTATTCCATTACATAAACAAAAGAACTTAATTTACCCCAAGGTGACCATTTTTCTCCTTTTTTCAATAGTAGGTAAGCCACTGAAAACTGCAACCACAACAGCATCTGAATCCAAAGCTTGACACTGCCGGTCTTCAGATTTTGGCAGAATGTCACCGATACTGCCATGTGTCAAGGCTCGGGGAGAACTGTGCCTGCTCCCAGACTGAGAGCTTCCTGGGGAGCCTACAAAAAATGAAGGGGATATTCAGAAAGACGGCAAACAAACAAAAAGTTCTCTCTCTAGTTTCCACGTTAGGAGATCTCACTATACATATATTTTTAAACTGCAGGAAAACTCAAAAACAATTTTAAAATATAACCTAGTCTTTTTGATGCCAACTATTTAATATGCGGTCTAATGGCTGCACTTTCTTACTGATGGGTCTGTTCTGTGTGACCAAGGAACTTTCAAATTGAGTTTCAGCATTTTTGGTGCCTTTAGAGGTCTAAAGCTATACCATCAGATCAATTTCAAGTAACAGACATCTACCCACCAAGATCACATTCTAAACTCTCCAAACTTACCCTCAGACAGAGTTTGACAGTCTCCCTTTGAACGGCTATTTTCCCCAGAGTCTACTGCTCTTCGAAGTGACAGACTACCTGCTATACTGGACCGAGCTGGCTTGGGTGAATTACTCTTCTTATTTGTGGCTGTAAAGACATTTTAAAATATTTCTGATTATGATAAAATAGCACAAAACTTATTACCTAGGAAGTCAGAGAAAGATTTAATCTTATCATCCATGAAAGGTATTCCCATCTACTGTGTCCAAAAATAAACAGAACACTCTGGTCCCAACTGGTTTATTTGGGGTTTTATGCCAAAGGTATTCCTATTTTGCTGCTTGTGGAACAGTTTCAACTTACAAAAGTAGAAAATTATCAGTGAACTCCAAAAGAAGAATCGTACCAGACATGAACTCTAATCTCAGTTTAATTAAACTAAGTATTAACAACAGAACAATAACCACCAAAACACTTGGAAACTGTAGAATATTACTGGATTAAAAAGAAATGAACGCTAAATTAGAAACAAGCCACAATTATAATACTTCAAGATGTTTGTGGCTAAAACAGTAATTAGAGGAAAATGTATAGCCTTAAAATGAATTAATTAGGGCTCTCACTTTCCTGCCGGGGTCCTGCACTTCCCCGGTGCTGGGGCATCTCGACCTGCCAGCGCCACTGCCCCTGGTGATCTGGCATGGGATGGGAGACAGCTGTTGTAATCCCTTAAGCACGGGCACTATTAAACAAATGGTTGAGAAGAAAATACCTGGAATTTACGTCTTATCTTTAGAGATTGGGAAGATCCTGGTAGAGGATGTGGAGAACAGCTTCTTTTTGAATGTCAACTCCCAAGTAAAAATGGTGTGTCAGATTCTTGCTAAGGATCCTAAATTGCAGCAAGGCTACAATGCTATGGGATTCTCCTAGGGAGGCCAATTTCTGAGGGCAGTGGCTCAGAGATGCTCCTATGATCAATCTCATCTCAGTTGAGGGACAACATCAAGGTGTTTTTGGACTCCCTCACTGCCCAGGAGAGAGCTCTCACATCTGTGACTTGATCAGAAAAACAGTGAATGCTGGAGCTTACAACAAAGCTATACAAGAACGCCTGGTGCAAGCAGAATATTGGCACGACCCCATAAAGAAGGACATAGCAACCACAGCATCTTCTTGGCAGATACTAATCAGGAGAGAGGTGTCAATGAGTCCTACAAGAAAAACCTGATGGCCCTGAAGAAGTTTGTGGTGGTGAAATTCCTCAATGATTCCACTGTGGACCCCGTGGATTCTGAGTGGTTTGGATTTTACAGAAGTGGCCAAGCCAAGGAAATCATTCCCTTACAGGAGAGCACCCTGTACACACAGGACCCCCTGGGGCTAAAGGCAATGGACAACGCAGGACAGCTGGTGTTCCTGGCTCTCGAAGGGGACCATCTTCAACAGTCTGAAGCATGGTTTTATGCCCACATCATACCCTTCCTTGAGTGAAACCGTTGTAGTTTGCACCAGAGCTCAGGAAACCCCTCATGCTTCCAAACCAGTTCCCTCCATGGCCAAGCCTGAGCTCAGATCCAGCTAGCAACTAATCCTTCTCTTGTCACCATCTAACATGCCCTGCTTGGAAAGACCCAAGATTGGAATCTTATCCTTTGCCTCATCCTATCAGCATATGATGTTGAATGCAAGTTTAATTAGCTAAATAACCATGGAGATTGCTTTACAACTCTTTGATGTGGTCAGACTGTTTTAGGAATTAGGAGTTTGCTGCAGGTCAGTGGCAGAACTGTGCCCAGGCCCGGAAGAGACTGAACAAAGTAAACCAATGAGACAGAGTCTAAGGCAGATGCCTTTCTCAGGAAAATCTAGCCACATCTCAAACCAAGAGGCCAGTACCCAGGCCTGAGGTATTCACATAAATGCTTTCTCAGTTGTGCTGGTGGAGATTTGACCAGTGCTTGGAAAAGTATTGCTTGGATGATGTGTCCACATTATTTCTTGAGGCTGTCCTCCTCTCTGTGAGTGTGCTGCTTTTTGTGGTGTTTTAGCTATTATTAGACAAATTCCGGCAGCCCACCATCTTGCCTTGGTAGCACTTTTTTGTCTCCTCAGGTAGTGATGAATTAGTTGCTCTGTCACAAAAGCAGGGAAATAGCAGCCAAGGATTGCTTAAGGGAGGAAGTGTACCTATTGCTTAGCTTACACGGGGAGGGGGAGGTTTAAAGAAAAATGTAAAATGAAAAAGGAGGAGGTAGCTGGCTCTTTCCATTCCATCCTTGATGAACCTGTCCTTTCTAAATATGACTTGTGGTCCAGATTCTAGAGTCACTCTATTGCTGGCATTAGCAAAGAATGGGAGGAAAAATGTGAAGAGATCAGGCTTTCTAACTTCCGGCTCAAAAACCTGAGATTACTGCACACTTCAAACTACTTCTGCTGTGTTCTGTGAAAAAAAGATTGTTTGCTCAAAAAGCTTAGGGAGTATTCCATATCCCTTTTCTCCTCTTGAAGATCAACCCACCTTAGAATATTAAGGACTCTGAGAATTCCTGTTACAGTACAGAACACCAACCTTAATCTACCGTTTCCCACACTATTTGAGCGTGGACGTCTTAGCCCCTACTCCTTTATCCCATGAAAACCTAGCAACACTTTTTAGAAGACTGTTCTGCAGAATGCCAGTTTGCGGAAACGGTTAGCTGTACTTGGGGGAAGCACTTTGTTACTGCTGCAAAGTTTACCCTCTGTGATTTTTCTTTCACCTCTCTCAAGACTTTTCAACTAAGAGGATGAAAGGTAAGAAGTGGGGACGTGTGAAAATAATTCTATGAAGTTGTCTAAAATAAAGAGTAGCTTCTTAAAAAAAAAAAAAAGAATTAGAAAAAACGGAAACTAAATGGCCTAACATGCATAAACTCAAGGAGATGGAAAAATGATAAAAAGAAATAAAAAGAAAGCAGAAGAGATGCATTAAAAGGTGACAGGGCTTCCCTGGTGGCGCAGTGGTTGAGAGTCTGCCTGCCGATGCAGGGGACACGGGTTCGTGCCCCAGTCCGGGAAGATCCCACATGCCGCGGAGCGGCTGGGCCCGTGAGCCATGGCCGCTGAGCCTGCGTGTCCGGAGCCTGTGCTCCACAATGGGAGAGGCCACAGCAGTGAGGGGCCCGCGTACCGGGAAAAAAAAAAAAAAAAAGGTAATAAACAGGTTCAACAAGGTAGTGGGATATAAGATCAACAATCAACTGACTTTTTATACATCAGCAAAGAACAAGCCGAGAATGAAATTAAGAAAACAATTCCATTTACAATAGCATCAAATAGAATAAAATACTTAGGGAAAAATTTAACAAAGAAATGTTAAGACTTGTATATTTTTGAAAGAAAATAAAGAAAAAAGGAAAAATATTCTGTGTTCATTAACTGGAAGACTTAATATTGTTAACATGGCAATACTCCCAAACTTGATCTACAATACAGATTCAACACAATCTCTATAAAAATTCCAACTGTCTTTTTTTTTTTTGCAGAAATTGACAAGCTGATCCTAAAATTCATAGAAAAATGCAAAAGATCCAGAATATCCCCAAAACACTCTTGTATGGAGGACTCACACTTATGATTTCACAACTTGCCATAAAACTATAGTATCAAGATTGTGGTACTGGTGTAAAGACAGAAGTACAGACCAATGGAACAGAACTGAGAGTCCAGAAATAAACTCTTACATTTATGGTCAATTAACTTTTGACAAGGAGGCCAAGATAATTCAATGGGCAAAGAAAAAGAAAAGATGGACAATAACAAGTGTTGATAAGGATATGGAGAAATTGGAACCCTATATACGGCTGAAGAATGTAAAATGGTGCAGCTGCTTTGGAAACAGTATGGCTGTGCCTCAAAAAGTTAAACATAGTTCTCATACAATCCAGCAATTCCACTCCTAAGCATATACTTAAATAAAAACATATGTCCCCACAAAAAACTGTACATGAATGTTCATAGCATCATTATTCATAATAGCTAAAAAGTGGGGGAAAAAAATCCAAGCCCTCATCAACTGATGAGTAGATCAAACAAAAAGTGGTACCCACATACAATGAAGTATCATTCAGCCATAAAAAGGAATGAAATAATACATGCTACATTACAGATGGCCCTTGAACACAATATGCTAAGCCAGAGAAGCCAGATACAAAAGGCTTCATATTGTGTGATTCCATTTATATGAAAAGTCCAGAAGCAAATCCACATAGACAAAATAGATTAGCAGTTATCAGAGGGATGGGGGAAGGGGAAGATGGGGAATAAAAACTCATGGGTATGGAGTTTACAGCAAGAGTGAAAGCAGCTCTTTTGTCCCTTTCCTGTTTGCCCATTTCTGTTCCCCTCTAACCTTAAAAGAACCTAATTATAGGAATGAGATCACTACGCAATTTAACCCAACTCTTGACTTTTGCTCTCCTGAACGCACACCATGCCTTGTTGATTCTTTTCCTAGAAAAAAAGAAGTAAGAATGAAGAATTTAGCAGTTTAAAAAAATGACTAGCTTTCTACTCCCAACAGCCCCCCTAAGCAATCCTGCTTGGGATCACTTGGGCAAGATAACATCTGAAGGGAGAGCCAGCCAATGTGCACACAGACTGGAGAATGATGCAGAACCCAACCTCCTGCCTCGATGATTCACTGAGGTTCCCCCCCAACCCCCACCCCATTTTCCCCCTTAAAAACTGTCATGGCTAAGCATGATCTTCGCAGTTGGCCTCTGGACACAAGTCTACCGTCCCCCAGACTGCCGGCTTTTCTGATTAAAGCACCTTTCCTTTCTACTGACACTTGCCTCTCAAATTATTGGCTTTGGAGCAGCAAGCAGCCGAACCTAAGTTTGGTAATAAGAGGAGGGATGAAAATGTCCTAGACTTAGATAATGGTGACTGTCACACAATTTTGTAAATATACTAAAAACTGCTGAATTGTACATCTGGGGAAAAAAGGTGCTGTGAGAAAAAATTATGACCAATTTCTCCACTGCAAAGTATACATAAACTATTGGTTAAGGGAAAAAAATGAAGAAGAGATGCATTAACAGAAACAAAGGCAGAAATTAACATAATAAAAAGAAGACAGTAGATGAAATAAATCTAAG